CGTAACACCCCATCGTCATTCGATGCATGACGATGCATGACAAATAATCAAGAAAAAAATACACACAGCCAAACAATTCATGTTTAGACTCGTGCAGTGCTTCCTCAGCGTGAGTTACGGAAAATTTAAAATGCAATTATTTTGTGTTAATCTGTTCAAAGTTTTTTATGATCTGTTTAATTTCTATTTTCACAGTTAATATCGTCAGAGTTAATATCATGGATGGAGAAGGAGAAGCACGTCAAAATTTTAAATCTCTCCAAGTTGTCAAACGCCCGGCCAAATGTGTTTCTCCTTATAAGGATGGCTGTTGGTCTTGGTTGGTGTGTCTTGCTGCTGTTGTCTCAAACGTGTTAATTTGTGGATTTACCTTCAGTTATGGCATTCTATTTCCTGCCATCTTGGACGAGTTTAAACAAGGGAAAGCTAAATCAGGTAAATTTCGTTATTAACACATATTATTTGTTGTCGCCGACGAGCTCGGGAACGCTGAAGGACTCTAAACGAAAGAAATGGAATGATCATCTCGATTTGAGCACTAATTAGACAGAGTACGCGTCATGCTTTAAATTTAACAGTGTAATAGGACCATCCGTGATATCATGGATTACAGACCGAATTGGACTCCACTCCGTCCTATTACCATTTTTAACCTCAGTGACACCTGTGGTTCTTTCACATTTGTACATGTAACCCGGCTGTGTGTTGCAATTCTCTCAACAGCTTGGGTTGGATCAATCGCTATGATGGGTATAGGCATTTATGGTCCACTGATCGCAAGGTTGTATAATCGCTTTGGTGCTCGACTTGTCTCATTTGTCGGAGCCCTAATCTGCGTATTTAGTCTAGCTGTTACCTCTAAAGTGACAAACCTGTACTTGATGTATTTAACCTACGGATTACTGTTCGGTTTTGGCTCTGGCGGCATCTACCTGGTGACCTACATAGTTGTGCCAAGATACTTCATAAAATGGCGCTCTCTTAGTCTGGGTCTCATAGCTATGGGGCCTGGTGGAGGGATGTTTGTCATGAGCCCTGTTGTGCATGAGTTGTTCGTAAGATTTGGATGGAGAGGAACATTTTTAGCAATGGCTGGTATTGTATCCGTAACTTGTATTCTAGCTTTGGTTTATAAGCCAATTATGATAGATTCTGATGTGGAAGACGAGAATAGTGAGTCAGCAAAGGATGATAAATTCTGGGATGTTACGATCCTCAAGCCCAAAGTGTTTGTCCTTATAACAGTTGCTGGGTTTGTGTACTACCTTGGCCACTATACTCCAGCTGTACATATAGTAAGTTTGAAATGAGCCCATATCACTCACCTTTTTCACATGTACATAACGCAGTAGTAGCGTCGCACACATCACGCCAAGCATTTCATGCATTGTGTTCTGCGAATCATGTCACGGCCTTGCACACCGGAACAATCCTAGAGCACTTAGCTAACGGCATTCAGCACTTCGCGGATTGCATAACACACTTTACGTCAATAAAAATCATCAATTATGAGTATGAAACACTACACAACATCTCACCCAGCTTCACGCACATTCGCATACTTTAAGTCACGCTGTTGAATTGCATTTTATGTCACACAACTCCCATATTTAACATATTAATTAGTCGCACTGATTGTAGTGCATTACATCCTCGTTACAAATTTAATTTTTGGAAGCTGACTTATTCTTCTTCCTGTTTGCTGGTATAGGTTCGTTTTTTGGAAGGCAAAGGAGTCCCAGAGGCTAAAGCCGCACGCTTGTACATCTACAGTGGTCTAGCTTCCTTGCTAATCCGACCGGTGATTGGTCGACTGAACGACGTCACTTGGATCAATATGTTCTATATCTATTCAATAGCCACAGGTGTTGAGTGTGTGGTTACCTTCCTGTTACCTTTCGTAATCACAAACATTAGCCTTGTTATATACTTTGTGGTGTTTGGATTGGCTGATGGTGCAATGGGTTGTGGTTTGCCCATTGGTGTGATAAACAGTCTTCCAGAGAAAATGAGACCATTGGGGATCGGGGCTTACAACTGCCTCAGTTGTTTTTCCTCAGCTTGTGGTCCGGCTCTTGGAGGTAAAGTATAATTTTGTTTGCTTTTCAAACGATCAGTGGAATCCCCTTTTATAATTGACGTACAGTCCCGTCGAGAGCGGGGGAAGATGAAAAGTGGGAGTTAGAAACTCTTGTTGTAGAAAAGTGCTCTGTTGTTTAAATGTCGTTAGAGAGCCAAGGATGTCCTTTAGAAACGTATACACAAGTGCCACGGGATATTGATGTGAATTTGGTGACATGCTTGAACTAACATGTACGGGCGTCATTAGTTCACTTCGATCGTCGAAGGTCTAGCGGAAGAAGCTTCATCCGAACGAAGAACTGCATTTTGTTCTCCGTTTTCGGTATGGCTCGATCGACTCCACAGACTTATCGGAAGAGTTTAGAGGATCCTAATGGAGTGTTGGCTTTTCCCGTTGACGATTCAAAGTGTGGCCATTTTATGGCCAACGATTTATTAATCTAATCTGAAAGTGAACAGAAAAAAAATTTAGATGTAGATATAGATATTTGCGCCATTAAGACAGGCTAGCCCAGTTGATCTTACGGCTGGTTTAAATGGGGGCCGCTATAAACAACGGCGGGGCCAGATCGCAACACCGTGAGCTTCGGCCCTTACGGTCAACATATTTTCATTACTAACGGTTAAAATTTGTCAATTTATACGCCTAACGACTAAACATTTTGTTGTTTTACGGCAAATCATCTTTGCTCGCCTCGAGCATCAAACGGTCATGTTGAGCCTGCGATATATCTGGATCATCCTTATCTGCTTCGAAGTTCGTGGGCGGTTTTTGGGATGTCACCCAGCACTCTCTCCAAGATGTTCCCAGAAAGACTTTCTACGCTCATTCTTTAAGAAAAAAGACAGGAAAAAAATAAAACCATAATGATAGCCATAGTGTCAATAATAATTGTAACATAACCAAAGTAAAGTGCGCGCTCTGACTGGTCAACCCAGTGTCCATCATTTGCCCATGGGGTGAGCAAATACAAAGACTAGTGCCTGTGCGCTTGTTTTTTTCTGGTCACGTAGGGTTTCAGTGTTGAATAAAAGTGAACTCTTTCGCTACAATGTATCAATGCTATGTTATAAATAAATGGTAAACACCACAGCGTACACTATTGAGTTATGGATGGAAGCGTAAGAGTCGTGCGGAGCGATAACCGAGAGCGACTCCAGCTTCTTGAGTCAGCGAACCTCCCAAGTGCATCCACAACTCAAAAGTGTACGCTGTGGGGTACACCATATGTTGACGATTTCTTTCTATTCTCGCCCGACTGGTCCTTTATGAGCCAGTATGTAGACAGTTCCCCTTTAGTGGTGCATCATGCAGTCGAATTCATTAGGCATAGTTTTTATGCCTCAATTCGTATGCTCATTAGCTTAAAAGTTCGTCATTTAGTGAGCACTGCTCAGTTTATCTGAACAGCTCCAGAAAGAACAGATCACCAGGCGATCAGCCAACGAAAGGTGGATTGAATTCAAGGCGAAACTATACGAACGAGAACGGAATCTGCCTAATCTCGTGCATTTCAAAGCGGAACTATTTCAAGTCTAAATTATAATCACTGTTTTTATTGAAATTCAGGCAACTAGAAAGGAAAAGCAAGACATGCATAATTTAATCCCAGCCACTCAGTTTTGCTAAGACAAAAGTAACTTCTAGATAACGAAGAACTACAATCATATGCCTTAGCTAGGCTGAGCTTCGATATCGATTTGTGAACTGTGA